CTCCAAGGCTCTGGTATTTTCTCCTTAATTTGATCTGAAAACAGCTCAAACTAGTAAAGTTTGAGACAAAAGCCACTTTAAAATGGATTCTTTGAAGAAACCGGCAGCATTCTTCCTAGATGAAGAGAATTGCTGGCTGTTTGAATACATTTGCACAGAATCCATTTCATACTGCTTAATTTTCCTGATTAAACTTATTCGTATTTACTTGATGATTGATTACATTAGAATGACTAACAACTTTGGTAAGCATCCATTTTATTTTTCATATTAAAAAACCTAGACAATTATAATTCTACTTGCAGATGGTTTTATACATAGTTACTGGGTCATAATCATCAGAAAATTAGTGAGTTGTTAGCGTTAGTAGCAATTTCTTTCAACAACTTTTTGAAACATCTATTAATCATTTATTAATGCTTTATTTATAAACTGACTTCTGTAGGCATATTTCCACAACCCTTGTTTCATTTAAAAATACAGTTTAAATTAATTTTATGAGTTTATGGCTATTCTCTGTGACTGCATGAAGACAACCATAGTATTCCTTCTGGCCATAGTAGAGAGGGACCAGAAGGCCCGGTTTAGCCTTGCAGTCTGTATTGTAAGGCTAACATGCTTCCAGGCACAACCTTCTCCTGCATGTAGGTTTTTCTGTCTCATTCCATTGAAAGACGGTCTTGAAATTTACACATTACCTACATTGTAGCAAGAAAGGGCTGCAATGCAGTTTTATCACTCCTGAGCTAAATCTGTCTGACAAAGACAACCTGTAAAATTTCAGCATAGTTTATCACTGGTTGCTGGAAAAAATCATGACTCATGCATTATGTATGCATCATTACTTGAGATGTGCAAGTAGTTAACTGCCCTGTGTAAACAGCATTTATATCTGAACCTTAGCCATAAACCTGTCCCTAAAATGTGAACACATGAAAAAAGTGATTTTGTTTCCATTAAGGAATATTGACCAAGTATGGAAACTATGATGACCCTACTACAACTCATAATACAGAATACTGACTGTGTATAGTCTAAATACTCTTCTTAGTCAGCTGAGAAGATGTTGAGGTATGGTAGGAAAGTGGTCCTTAGTTACCTAAGCACAATGAATAACTGTCTCAAAAACACATACTTTTGGTTTTTTTTTTAATAATTCAAAAAACTTAAAGTATCCTAAACATCTCAAAAAGTATAAAGAAAAAAAACAACACCCAAAAGCCTTCACACTAAGAAAAGCTTCAGAAACTAAACCCAGGGATTTAGGATATCTCAATGCTACCCTACCATGACATTGTGAGTAGGTGAAAGCATAAATGGAGAGAAGCTTAAGCAGACGTTTGAGAAAACTTGCTGAAACCCTCTGAATGCTCAAGAAACAAGCAAAGGCCGAATTTTTCAGAAAGGTTCCAGTTATATTTAGCAGTATTTTCACTAAAAATAAAAGGACACTAATGTTGTATACTATTATATATTATAGATGGTATGATCAAATGCACCCTCAGCAAATTTAAAGACAACACCAAGCTGAGCGGTGTGGTTGACACGCCTGAGGAACAGGATGCCATCCAGAGGGCTGTAGTTGAGAAGTAGTCCTGTGTGAACCTCATGAGGTCCAACAAGGCCAAGTGCAAGGTCCTGCACCTGGGTTGGGGCAATCCCGGGTGTCAATACAGGCTAGGGAATGAAGGGACTGGGAGCAGCCTTGCGGAGAAGGACTTGGGGGTGCTGGTGGACAAAAAGCTGGACATGTGCTGGCAATGTGTGCTTCTAGCCCAGAAAGCCAACTGCATCCTGGGCTGCGTCAAAAGCAGTGTGGCCAGCAGGTCAAGGGAGGTGATTCTCTCCCCCTACTCTGCTCTGGTGAGACCCCACCTGCAGTGCTGCGTTCAGCTCTGGGGCCCCCAGCATACGATAGATGTGAACCTCCTTCAGCGGGTCCAGAGGAGGGCCACAAAAATGATCAGTGGGCTAGAGCACCACCCCTATGAGGACAGGCTGAGAGTTGGGGCTGTTCGGCCTGGAGAAGAGAAGGCTCCGGGGAGACCTTATAGTGGCCTTCCAGTGCTTAGAGGGGACCTGTAAGAAAGATGAGGGCAATCTTTTTAGCAGGGCTTGTTGTGATAGGACAAGGTGTAATGGTTTTAAACTAAAGGAGTGCAGATTTAGACCGCATATAAGGAAGAATTTTTTTCCAATTAAGGTGATGAGAGACCGGAACAAGTTGCTCAGAGAGATGGTGGATGCCCCATCCCTGGAAGCATTCAAGGTCAGGCTGGATGGGGCTCTGAGCAATCTGACCTAGCTGAAAATGTCCCTGGTCATTGCAAGGGGGGTGGACTAGACGGCTTCTAAAGGCCCCTTCCAACCCAAACTATTCTATGATTTTATGATTGTTTTTTGACATCTTCATCTGCAGACTTTTTCTGCTCTGGGCTGTTCAGTCTGTGGTTAGGTAACACATCCTGTTTTGCTGGTTTAGCCCTATAGTACCTCACAAATAGAATAACTACAGAGCACAAATAGAACTCATTACAGAATATCGGCATGAACATATAATAAATACAGCCAGGTCCCTTTTGATTTACCTATCAAATTACATTGTGTAACACCAACAAGATTTACAAAAACAAGATCCCTCCTGCTTAGCAAATATTTGAAAATCTGAAGTAGTTTTTGATTTCTAAAGTAGTTCAGAGGTAAATTCAGATAAGTATGATACACAATCTCAATCTTTCTATGCAGACATATACAAATAGAGATTTCAGAAAACAGCACAAATTAATTATGGATTTAGTATAAATTTTTAATATTGTCCACTGTCCTCTCACTGAAGTGTACCTTTCCAATATTGATCTACTTAGTGTATCTATTTGTAGACCAAGATGACTTTTCAGGTTGTTTTCATATTTACTAGTTTTTGTTAACACTTGGAGTACTCTTTGATAATATATGCTATTATAAGGTACCTTTAAGATGTCCACAACCAGTGTGACCTGTTTTGTTTTTTCAAAAAAAACTCTCAGCAATACAGCTGGGGGACAATGAAATGAAGAGCAAGACACATCCTTGAAAGAAGGTAAACCGCCTGAAAACTTCCAAGTGAGAAAGGAGAATAAACTGAAAAAAGTCAAATCGCAGAAAAGGAAGGTCTGTGGAAATAACATGACAGCATGTAGGAACTAATATAGCCTTTTACTGAAGGAAGCTGTGTATTCAATTTTAGTAGGGATGGCAGCAGATATCCTAAACGCTCACAATCTACTTCATGGTGGTACTGTCTTCATAAGGAATGCAGGTAATTGTACCTGCCACTCTACTGCATTTTTAGAATAAATTACCATACAATTCAAACAGATATTGTACTAAAAAAATTCCAAGAAGATCAATTCATGTTATAAAGAAATCTTCAAAATAAGATGTATACAACAACTTAAAAACATGTAATGCTGAAAGAATATTCCAAAATCAAAGTGCGACCCTTTGAAGAAGGCAGCTTCAGTCCACTCTAATAACAAGGGTCTGACAATTTATATATCTTTCCTAACATAATCAATTAATCTTTTCACAAACTTCAATGTAACAGAAATAAGAGGAAAGACATTTTTATAGGGAGCAAGGTAAATATACTGTTCTAAAATTTAACACTGAGGACTGTTTTTGTGTTCAGGTTTTAAATTTAAATCAAGCATCTGTGTGATTGCACTCTATAGTCACTGGGTTTCTTCTCATTTGAGTACACAGCACCCTATTACACAGACCGGTCACTTCAGGTTTTAGTGTTTGGTATACTGTAGTTCTTATCAGAAAATTTATTGTCAATTCTTTGAAGGAAGTAGCTATGAGGAAAAAAAGTCTCAAACTTGCTCTGAAACGTAACATGAAATGAAGGGAAGGGGTACACTAATGCCCAGTAATGAGTATGCCCTACAACTAGAGGAAATACATTGTGTACTTCAGACCTTCTACTGAAAGAAATGCAAACTATACTGGACTAAAATGAATGCTACTATGATTTATGATATTACATTTATACACACAGTTACTGTGTTTGGTTAAGAAAAACAAAAGAGAAAGTCATATGTTTCTTTGAATAGATGTTAATTATATGTTCATTATGCATTTCTTTAAAATAATTCTGTAATTTGGAACATGCTTTGCTTAGTGCAGAATTTTTGTGTGTGGATTATGGGATGTGAAAGGGAAAAAGATAACACACATTAGATCATTTGCTACATTTTTTCTCCCATCACTGTGCTGATAACTCCAAAACCATTCACCTCCTGCTATATAAATGAGAAGACTGTTGAGGCTGCTTGAACTTGCACTACCTTTAAAAATACCAAAGGGTAAATATGGATGCAAGGGATTACTGATCTGCTGAATGTATTTTGTTAATGTTACCCTGTATGAACACCCCACATCAGCATGTACTAAAGAACTCTCATCTGTTTGGGGAGGCTTGTACTCTTTTCTGCCTTTACAGAAGTGTAAAGAAGGCATTTAATGTTTGTTAACAACAATAATTCACAGATATGTTTTTGAAACAGACATCACAAATATGTATGTAGAAAGGTTACTAAGTAGCTCAAACCCAGTAATTAATGCCCAGGATTAAATATTACATACTAGCTTACTTCAATTTTTTAAGTTAACTCGTACATAATGCACATTCTCAAACTAACTCCTGTGATTTCTACTCTCTTTGAAATTTATAGCTTCAAAAATATTCTTCACATGTACTTGACTGGACAGTGAAAATGCAAAATAATTGTAAACTTGTTCACCAAACTTTTTTAAAACTAAAAAGTAACAGTTGACTTTTACAAGATTACAGTAAGATTTCTAATTGGTGTAAAGAGGTCTGCCTTAATATTGATTGAAGATACAGCTACTGGGCTAAGAGTAATGGAGAAATAAACAGTTAACATATACTTCCATTCTTTTTTCTTCACATTCTTTTCAGTTAAAAGACTTCCACTTATTTTTTGTATACTTACTTTGAACTCCATGGGAGTGAACTATTTTCCAGGTTTCTGAGGCTATCTCTTTTATATCCACTTGGTAATGATGAATGGGCACACCTCCATGTGAATCTGGCTTATTGAACACAACTTTGGCAGTGGTTTGTGACAACTCTAAAACTCGTACTCCATAAGGATTTGATGGCACATCTAAAAAAATGCAAACATCAATTTAATAACCAGCAGCAACTAGACAGATATAAATAGTTGGTGATCTACTCCAAAAAGTCTCCTTAGCATCTTTAAGTAAGAAAAAAAAATAATTTGAATATTATGTAATAATGCTTGCGTTAAAGAAACAAGGTTTCTAATACAGAGCTGTAAGAAAATCACATTTATTTTCTTGTACACTAAAGTTATGCAAAACCATTTTCCATTTCTGACTTTCTTTTATAATACCATTTTTAGAATAGCTGATTTTGTCACAGGCAAATATAGTTTGTTTACTGTATAATTATGTAAAAGAGAATAACAAACTTTAAAACAAATTTAACATGAGGAACAGTTATGGCTAAATAGATCATTCAGAGTCTGAATTCTTCAAAATGAGATTATGACAAAAAACTGTAGAAATAATTTGGCCATTTTTATGAAACTCTGAAATACAGCTGAAAGCATGAATCCTTTTTTTGAAAGACTGGAATCCAGTCTACTAGAAAGGAATATTAACGGAAAGTTTCTATTCTCTTTTCAGTTTAAGAAATAATTTGCGGAATAGTTCGAAAGAAACATTTTCTCTGAAAACAAAAGCAAGCACATATCTTTCAAAGTAGAAAAGAATTATAAAAATAGAGCTGGTGTCTGTAGGTGTTGAGATGCTAGATATGAAACAAAAGCAAAAAATTAACCTTGGGGTCAGTACATCTTTAAAAATAGAAACATTATGTTACTTTCACAATGTATGACCAAACTAACACATAGAAGACAAAATACTAATTTTTCATTGGTGAGTACTGAACCATTCACATCAAGTGTAGTCTTTATTGAAGGGCTGTCAGACAGATGGGAATAAAAACAGAATCAATTTGAGCTTCACCCCGTATTGGTACTTGAATGAAAATGAGCCAAAATGGGTTTAAGAAAATATTCAGCCACTAATTCTCAGGAAAAGGACATCTGCCAAAGCAGCTCTAAGGGGGTTGATTTGTATAACCTTTTAATAATCAGGCACCTATTTTTTTCCAGAAAAAATCTCTAGCCGTTGTCAGAGTTGAGTGTCTCAATGCTGAAAACATACCTCTGAAATATTACCGTTAACATTTTCGAATATAGGTCTCCTGAAACCTCCAATGCTTTGTGCTCATTGGGTTGAAATCAGCATAGATTTATTTACATGGATGAACAATTTTAATATCTTTTACTTAAAAACATAACTATATGAATCCATGATACTAAAAATTTGAGTAAAGTGCAAATCTCAGCTTGAGGGATTCAATCCCTCAAATACTTTCTTATTCCAGGAAACACTGATTTCATCAGGATATAGGATGTATCAGGAAATTTTCACCCTTAGTAAAGCTATATCATTCTGAAGGAATTCCAGATTCATGGTCGGACAGAACGTGACCAAACGTAACCAGTATGTTATACATCTGGGAGAACACAGACCTGGGTTTTGAATCTTTTTCTAAATTGATCAAACAGTTGATTTTCTTTTTTTTTTTTTTTTAGAAAAAATAAAATATGTTCAAAAAACCATACAGATTTTCTTTTATCACATGCAAGTTATGGGTTAAACTCATTAGATAACACATTAGTTATATGAGTTGTTTGCTAAGTAAGCATTGATCCCAAAATTAGAAAGGGATGAGCATTAGAACCAGCTTGTGATCCCTCTCCTCCAGATTCTCATTACAGCTGAGAGCAATATTTTTTTGTTCCCCAACAACAACAGTACCTTAAGCACCATTCTGTGTACAGATTCTTTCTCTCCCTATCTAAAACAACTGTCGTGAGAGGGGTGGGAATAATACAACATAAAAGAGCCAGCAAAGCAACCCAGGATAGCCAAAATAAAGCAGCATGGTGCTGTATGAGTGATGTGGATATCAATCACTTAGGAAGATAAAATACTCTGTAGTACTTCAGAGGAATGTTCTTTGGTTTTAATATTAAGCAAAAAGCTGCTGTGGATACCTACAATATAATAAATTGTTTTTAAACACTTTTGTGCCTTTTCTGCTGATAAAAAGTCCAAAATGAAACAAAAATTTTTGTTTAAGGTTGAATGAATAATTAATTTCACTCAGGCTATTTTTATGTCAGTTTCCGTATGCTCCTTTTATAAGTCAATTCACTGTTACTTCAGTTTGGATCAAAACAATTATTTGGTCAATGGTATGAAACAAAAATGTATTATTTACATATCCATTTTATTCTTGACTTTCAAAATGCTAAGGACATCTCTTTTCCTTGTGTGTTCATGTCTGTGTATGATTAACTATAATAAACATGGCATTGGGAAGAAGACATCCTTCAGGAAGAACCTTATGGTTTCTATTGCAGATGCAAGTACAATTTCTGCCAAATGAAGATATGATTCCATTTGGTAACAAGCATAAAATGAAGCTCCTGTGAAAACCCAGCAAAATATTTTGCATAACTAGCACAATGCAATATGTAGTATGTTTAAGTGTGAAATACATCCAAAATACCATTTTAAATCCATAATCCAAGGAACCCACACATGTAGGTAACTTTTATGCAGTTTTTCAGAGTTGAACTATATCAGTTCTTAAGAAAAGAGTGAATCACCTGAAGAAAGTACAACAGGAGACACGTTCTTAGTCAAAATCAGAAACAAATACTAGTAGTTCCATTAAAATTGAATAAAATACCTACTATGTCTTTCAAACTAGGCAAATCTATAACTCTTCCCTCAAAGAAGATCATTAGCAGTATAATGAACTGATCTAATTCTGAGTTCTCTTTGATCATGCAAGGCAAACAGCCCTCTGGTCCTGATCTAGCTAAACATTCCCGCATTTGTGCTGTCCCCTGTCAGCTGAAATTATTTGGAGCGTTGCTGTGATCTTCGTGTTAGCATTGCAAGTCTTTTGGTCCAATGTTTATTAGAAGTGAAGAATAATTTGCAAAGTTGTGTACTCTAAAGTCTGCGTTTGGAAGGATGGAACTGTGGATGCTTCTTGTTCTTTTTTCTTCTAAAGTCAACCAACCAACTAAATGAATCTTAGAGGAGTTTAGCTATGGGCAGTGATTACTCTTTCATATACTGTTACAGACATAAGTTGGAGGACTATATATAGGAAAAGTATGGGATTTATTTTCTATGATTACTTAGTGACAGCACAGATTATGGAATACTGTCTTAGAAGTTCCACTGCTATCTTTGTTGTTGTTATACTGTTGTCAAAACAAGAGATATTTTACTAAAAGTTCAGCCTTTAAATTAAAGTGTCATTAAAAAATACAAGTGTCAGACATTTAGTCAACTCCATCTTCTTTCCACAGTGTCTACAGTATGTCACTGTATTCATGTATGATGTTAAAAAAAATTCCTTAAAAATAAAATAAAAAATATCCTCAAATAGTAAGTGTAAAATTGCACTTGATGTAGGTTGTACGCAGCACAAAGCTGATTAGCACAAATGAACTTTGTGATAAATTTGCCTTAATTAAGTAGTTGCGGTCTGGTTTCAAAAACATTATTGCAGCTGAGAAGTACACCCAGAATTATGAGTACATATTTATCTCCACTGATATGTAAATGCTCTTTCAAGTCTATTACTCTTATTACCCAACCTGTTCAATAAATGACCACCATTTATCACTGGGGATTTTCTTTTCAAGCTATATTTTGTATAGTTTTATGGAAGAAAATAATTTTTCTTCTGAGAGTTTAGCTGTCCTGGAGTAAATGGAGAAAAGGAAGTGATGGTGTGAGAGTAGGTAGTGGGGTCAGAAATTTATCTTTCAGTTAGCTCTTGTCTCCTGTCTCCCGTCAATATTTTCCTAGTGCAGTTCTGCATCTTCTCCTATCTCTGTATACGTGGCATATATATTGATGGAAAGTAACTATGTCTAAAT